ATAATGGAATTTCTCAAGGATGTTATGAACGAAAATTGTCGACAGCTGAGCCCTCTTACCTAGCCTTTTTTCTTTCCTACCTGGCCGAGTTGTTGTGCAGGTGCTAAATCTATTGCTTTGGAGTGACTTTAGTACATACTCGAGGATGACCACAGTAAATATCTTGGTGTACCCTTGCTAAATTATTTTAGTTCCCAGTTTTGATAAATGTCTAATATGGTACATCTTATTTGTCCTTATTATCCCATATGAATTAACGATTTGATGCCGCAGTTTTCATTTGATGTGTAGGATAAAACCTGAAGTTGATTGTGTATGAACTAGAAAGTTCCCTGAGTGTTCTCATTCGTTGTTGTCACTTGTGGTAGTATTCCATTGGAGTCATCTTAACAGAAGATACCGAGATGCGTATATGTTTCCATCAAATTAAACGAGTACAAAGGATGGGGTGGAAAATCTGCAAATCCTAAACATCGTAACCTCTCCTGGGGATATAGACATTATGGTGTATTTGTTTTGGCTTAGAATAATTAGGGTTTATTGTAACCCCCTGATATCGATGCGGGTAATCCGATCCGATATGGAGTGTCACATTAGGGCCACCGGAGTGACCCACTGTAAAAATCTTGGAAAATTTAAAACTTTTGTCAAAAAATGTAACTCATAAAATCATTTATTAGTATGAATAAATAAAACAGATTTTCAGACTCGTATATAAAGAAAAATACAATTACATGCCCCTAATCACATTTATCATACTCTACAAATAACACCGGAAGAACACCCTTATTGAAATCGATAACTGCACTGGTACAATTCTTTTAACCTCCAATGGTGAGTAACAGAGTGAGCTTTGAAAAGCTCATTTATACATAACTACCATATGATGCTACATGACATGTAGATAAATGGAAACTCATATAATTTCCTTGTCAAATCTGACGTATACCAATTATCGGAATAATCTGGGGTACTACTGGTAGTTCATCGAGTAGAAGCCATGAATCTCAGTTCATAAGAAACATTTCATAGTATCACGTTTTCAAGAGATCGAATAGGATGTCTAGTGTGTTCCAATTAAAACCAGTTAAAAGATATAAATCTCTTAAAACCATAGTGGAACCCTCCAACCAAACTCCATTATGCAGTTACCCAGAACTGCGTCCGTAGGGCTTATCCTAATCACACAACAAAGGGAGCCAACCTAAGATATGCCTTGGGGCCTATGGGCCTACCCAAGGGTATCATTAGGTCTATAAGGTCTTATCAGCTGGATCAGGGTTGTGCCTCCATACTCCAGAATCCTATCCATATAAAAATCTGGTAGAAATCAATTTTAGCCATAAAATGTAATACCTGGACCGTTATCCAATAATATGTCATAATCGTAATAATAAAATAAATCCTATAACTGATTTCCACCTGTACACCATAAGTAGACCAATGATTAACCTAAGGGAGTGCCTTGGGGCCTGAGAGCCTACCCAAGGATCATCTTAGGTTCGTAAGAAATTTTCAACTTGATCAGAGATGTATCTCTAGTCTACCCATATAATATCCCAATAAAATAGTTCCATAAGTAACCAGTATATTTCATGGTCCATAAATCAATAACAATTCATAATTTTTGATGAAAATCGTAATTAGATATCACATACCATGTTGCCATGGTTCATAAACCAGTAAATTAATAATTATGTTAAAACACATTTCAAAACATATATAACTGTCATGTAGTACATGTGGAACACACTAGAGGATCCAAGTATTATTTTTTAGAGACATTTTGTATTTATCAGAATGAATAATATAAAACTTGTACAATTTGATCGGATTCCAGGAACGAGGTCCTATTAAAAAGAATTGATTACTAAACAATCTAATCATGCATTTAAGGTTGATACTATAGAATCCCATTATGTTTCATGTGCATCAGGAAAGCGTTCAGGAATGACCGGAGTAATTTGAGTTGATAAGAGAGAAACGAAGATTCAAAACATTTACAATCTATGTTGATTGATCAGATTATGGAATAACTTGAGTTGAACAACTTCCAGAACTGATGCGTATTGACTGATCAATTTATTGCCCTTCAAGGGTATTCGCTCTTTAATACTAACAATTCTTGCCCATAGATCATCTTCGTAATCATCGCTGAATAGATCTTCCAATGGTCTTTATTTCATCTTCACGTTTCAATGATATCAGGAAATGCTGACATACTTGATTCGTGGTTCATGACCCATAAGGACAATACATCATATAAGTTCAACAACGTTCCGAGACTCATCCAAATCACTTATTTAATCCTCAATCATTGAGGTTACTTAGTTTATTTAGCAATCAACTCTATCCTGGTTACTTCAGAGTTTTCCAGATTAATTCAGACATTTCTGAATTTCAGATACATATTGTATTTCCTTACAGTTCAATTTAGTCATATAATAGAGTCATTATGATATTTGTGGTTAATTTGTCTCATGAATATCCACTTCTTAGTACCGAATGCGCTCTGGCGTTGAGTTGAGCTAAGTATTTCCATAATTATCATCAATCCATACTTGAGGAGATGAACAAGCATTCAAGTGATACCTATGCTATTCAAGTACTGATATAGTACTAGCATTGGTTGACCGGCTTAAGTTGTGTTCCGTAACTTTTAAGAGCAGTACAACATCCATGTTTATTTGAATTTCTTAATTAATCCAAGACATTTGCTTAGTCTAGGACATAAGGGTATTTTGATCATTTTGGTACTCAATTTTATTCCATTCATTTCAAAGCTCAAGGATATCCAATCATTCCTGAGTTTAGTAATATTCTTGGGTCATTTCCATTCCAGGGGTATTCTGGTCATTTTATAGATCCAGTGTATTACAATCATTTTCTTCTGTCAGATCTTATTATCAAATTCAAACTTATCATTTATTTCATTCATTTCGAACAATTCTGCCAAAAGAGCACCATCGATAAATTATTCTTCATGTATTTACTCATAACTCGGAGATTTACGGATTATCATAAATTTTCTGTATAAACGTATAACTTAATGATGAAACTAGTAATTCATCGATTTATGCATGACTTCTTGAGTACTTTTCTATTCAGGGTAAATTCGGCTACTTTTCCCTCTCAAGGGTAATTTCGTAATTTCTTAACCATATAATTTTGATATTAAAACTCTTAACAAAGATAATTATAATTAAGAGATTCTAGGGTTTATCTCTTTTTCGGATAATCTTTAAACTTTAAAATATTCCTTATCAAACTTCTAATATCTTGTACAACCCATCTTGGATTTAAAAATAGGTTATCCAGATTTTCTAAGCAAAGCTAGTATTTTCTATACACATCAGTAGTTTTATCAGATCAACATGTCTTTACAACTTCTTATCCAACTTCCATGGTCAATTCTTGTCTTTTTACAACATAAGGGTATTTTTTTAATTTCATCTAATCGAAGTATTCTCATAATTTATCGCTTAAACCGTATTCGATTCGAATCCATCCATAAACAAACATGCATAATAGTCCGATCATATACATTCATGCATTTTTCCATTTTCAACATTTTCTATAAAGCATAAAGAGGTAGTAATGTATTACCTCTATTTTTGTGACATACTGATCGACGATATAAATTCCATTCGAACGTCATTGATCTTGAAATCAACTTCCAATAATTCCTCAAATACATAACAATATAAATTTCATAAAAAACGGGGCTTAATTCTGAAAATGGATCGAATCGGATGATAAATAAGTGAAAAACAGCTTACCGGGTTCGAATTTGGCGAAATGGACCCAGGACGTGGAAAAACATCAGAATAGGTATACCCAGAAAAAGTCAACAGTCGATCAATGGTTGGTCAACGCATGTCAAAGTTCTGGTCAAAGGTGGTCAACGCGGTCAACGAACAATGGTCAATGGGTCGGGTCGGTCAGTCAGGTCGGACCAGTCAGACCGGTTTTCTTTATTTTTTTCTACTGCCAGACGAAGCCCACTCTCAGGAGGTGGCGCGTGGGGCGCGTGAACAGTGTTACGGTGTCCGAAAATTCTCAAAAAATTTCTAAAAATTATTTTAAGGCATTTTGAGACACTTGCCAAGCTCGGTTCAAAATTTTGAACGGCCGAGAGCTCAATTCCGGAATATCGAAAACTTTGAATTCCTCACCACTCCACACGATGGAGACACTGAGGACATCGTTGGACTCTGAACGATGCAAGGAACACGATGGTGCAGAAGGTGTCGAAAATGAGTGGCCGGATCGACGTGAATCGACAAAAAACCAACAAAAATTAAAACTGACGATACTTTCGACTGAAATTAACGACGAACAACTACGATTCACAACGAAAGGTTTGAGGGGTTTTGTTCATCGGTCGACAAAGAACACAATCGTGGTTTTGGTTCGTCAAACGGAGGCCAGACGATGAGCAGATCGGAATTCAAATGAGGGTTGAGTGGAAGGGAAAAATGGGAAATTATGCAGAAAACAATCGGAGAAAGGGGTTTATAATTCATCCTATAAAAAATTGGTTAAACCATGAGTTTAGTCACTGAATTTCATGCACTTATTAAAATCGTCTGCCAACTTTATGATTTTATAATTTAATCCTCAATTTCCTCCAAAATACCAATTAAATCCAATACTTTATAATTTCTAAAATTTAGCCCCTAAATTGGGGTGCGACATTTATGGTTTTGGGTCGATCATGTTTGGCGAACTTGACAATGCAGGTTTTTCTATTTATTCTCTTAGCCTATGTTTTTTTTGTAACCAGAAATATGTTGTTAATTTCTACATATTGGATTTTCAATATGGGCTAAGAGCACTAGTCAGAGCAGGTTATGGAGGAACTTAGTGGACCCGAAGTGATGAGGTTGAAGTAGCATGGACCTGGATGAATTCCTTATCATACTCGTGTTCGACTAGGGTCTGTTGGATCCACTGTTGGGATGAAAAGAATAGGAAGCACGTTAAGGCTGCAGAACTTGCTATTGTTGCTTTGAGTTGGGGTTGGAGTTGGGTTTCAAAGGCGGAACACTGGACGAGGAACGATCAAGCACTGGGATATCAAACATTTTCTCCAACTCACCGGATTTCTTGATATCACCGCCTGCGTATGACACTGACCTTGATGACATTGTTGATTGTCGCTCTTTTAGCTGCTTCGGCCTTCTCGAAACAAACAATCCATTGTTTCACATACTTTCTTTTATATATATGTGTGTAAAGTTTCATCAATTTTATTAAAAAGAGAAGGAAACACAAATAAGATGCTGATTAAGATAGTCTTTACAAGCTATAAACACACAAGTGGACTTTGTTGCCATGAGAGAAGACCCTGTAAAACATAATACGAACAACACAACATACAACAAAGCACCCAGGCAGAAAACAATACCGACCACTGAGAAATGAAGTTTAATGCTTTGTCCAAGGCCTTTATTTTTCTGCAAAGGAATCAGCGAAGGAGTTTAGTTCTATACCATTTTGCAAATCTTTGTTGAACTTTCAAGTAGCTCCGAATGAACCACCATGGTTTTCCTGTGGTGAATACAACGTATCCCATGCTCAGTCCCAGCACCAACCCACATCCATACCCCATCAGTATAGAAAATTTCCAATTCAATCCATCATCATCATCATCTCTATAAAATTTTGCTGGAGTTTCGTGATCAATATCACGACTTTTTGATAATGGCAACCCCCATAAGCCCAAGTTTCCTATGTAGGAATCACTGGTGAAAGTATCAAATTGTTTGCCTTGAGGAATAGGTCCCACCAGATAATTATGAGAAAGGTTTAACACCTCCAAGAATCCAAAATTATTCAACTCCATTGGAATCTTTCCTCAGAGCTTGTTTGATGAGAGATCTAATGATTCAAGATTTCACAAATCACCAAATGATGATGGGATAGAACCCTTTAAACATTGTGAGAGAGGTTTATGACAATGAGAGAATGAAGTTCGCCAATTGTTTTAGGAATTTCTCCTAAGAATTGATTGTTGGGAAAGTTAATTACCATCCAGCTGGTCAGTAGTTCTTGAAACTCCATTTCGAACCCTTTTATTGTAAAAGATAAACCTTGCACATAATACACTTCTCCGTCAGCAAATTCATCTTTCATGTACTCTGGTTCAACTTTCTTTCCATTCCCTTCTTTAATAGCATGCAAATTTTCAAAAAATTTGGTAGGTAAGTAACCACTGAATTTATTATGAGATAGATCAATGGCGTGCAAATGAGTGAAGGAAACAACAATATCTGAACTATTCACTTGTCCATAGAATCTGTCCGATCTCAAGATGAGAACTTGTAGTTGATCCAAATTTCCTAACCAAAATGGGAAAGTATCATGTAACTTGTTTTTCCCAACGTCAAGAAGCTGCAAATATTTGCAATTACCCAAAGATCGGGGCAATGACCCTTCTACATGATTGTTGTTGATTAGAAAACTCTGCAACTAGCAGTGTTTAACAAAATTTTCTGGTAATTTACCATGAATATTATTATCCTGCAGATCAATGTGTGAGAGAAGAACTCAAGTTTCCAATGCAATATGGAATTGTTCCACTCAATCTATTCTTTATAAAGTTGAGAACATTGAGGGAACACAAATTGTATACTGAGGCAGGGATTTCTCCAACTAAGTTATTCATTGAAACATCGTACCACTGAAACGAGGGTGGTGGGGCTGGGATATTCCCTAGGAAAAAAATATTGGAATAGAGTTTAGAATTAAAAGTGGAGATTCTTTAAAAGAAAATTTAAATAAATTATAGGATAAATTATCTATTTAGTCAACCACCTATTATTGTGTTTATGTTTTAACCATCTAACTATTTTAAAAAAATATCTAACCTTAAATTTCTTTTTCGATTTTGGTCAATAGTTAGTTTGACCGTTGATTTAACGAATCTAGTGACATGGCATTGGTATAATAACAGTTTTAGCTCACCAAACTTCCACATTCTATCAAATTTATCATAATTTAAAATGATACTCAAAGATCATCAATATTTAAAAATCTTATCAATTTGGTACTCATTTGAATTTGAAATAATTTATTGTCAACTTTTAAAACAGTCAAAGTTTTTGGACTTATTGTGTGAATGTCTCTTTTTCTCACATAGTCACTCTACCAACCATTGTCTCACCATCACATTGTAAGAAGTCGATGAAGGGTGTGTAATTGGTGTGGAGAGATGACGACGATAGCTAAACAAATGGGCGACGACGATAAGAATTTGTGAGATGAATTTTGGAATTTTATGTTCGACCAGATTGAAGTATTTTTTTTTTTTAAAAAAAAGTGAGGATTCTTTTTGAATTATTTTGAATTAAGACCAATTTGATAGAATGTGTAAGTTTTGATGACTAAAATTGTTATTATACCATGTCACATTACCACTTCCGTTAAGTCAATGGTCAAATCTAACTCTAGGTGACTAAAATAAAAAACAAAACATAATGTTAGATAATATTTTTTTAAAAAAAATAATAACTATGTTATCAAAACAAAAATGAGAGAATGTAAGGGACTAAATAGGTGAATTATATTTGTGATGTAACACATGCATGGATGAGGTACATAGCTAATAAAAGTGACGGATTAAATTAGTGACCAGTGAGGGAGATGGAATTGTACCTGTCAATTCGTTTTGGAAAAGAAGAATGTCTGTGAGGGATGTCAGGTTTCCAACAACGGGAGGAATTGGACCTGAAACATATAATTATTAGAGAATTAATTAAAACAAATTTTATTTAAATTTTAAATTATTGTAATCAATTATAATATTCTTGTGATTAGTTGTAATCTCCTAACTCTAGGCTAGTTTTCTATTTCTATGTGCCCCATCTTGTGTATATATATCCACTCTTAATTAATGAAAAACTCAAGCCATTGTTAATCAATACTCTTCTCTCTACTTCAACATGGTATCACGAGCCTAATCTTTCTGAGCATATTTTACTCTCTCTTTTTTCCTTCAAAAACATCACGATCCTTCATATACATATATCTAAAATTGCGCCACTAGTCCCTTCAATGGCTTCCCATACGACTTCCTCTTCCACCAACGACCCTATTACTATCCAAAATTCTCAAGATCCTCAAGATCCTCTCCTTACAATAAATCTCTCCAATATCACCAAATTGTCATCCACCAATTATCTCACATAGAGCCTTCAAATCCAATCTCTTCTTGAAGGTTATGATCGTCATCACTTTATTGATGACACTCAAACTCCACCACAACCCACCGTCACCGTCAATGGTGTTACATCTCTAAATCTGGGTACACAACCTGGAAACGTCAGGATCGTCTCCTTTTTAGCGCTATCCTTGATGCCATCTCCATTTCACTGCAACCACTTATTGCCCGCACCACCACTTCCCTTGATGCATGGCAAACCTTAGCTAATACCTACGCCAAACCATCTCGTGGTCATATTAAACAATTGAAGGAACAATTAAAGCGGTGTACCAAGGGCTCAAAATCAATTAGTGAATACATGCAGGAGATAAAGACTCGTGCCGATGAACTTGCTCTTCTAGGGAAGCCAATTGATGATGACGATCTTATTGATCGGGTTCTAGAAGGACTAAGTGATGAGTATAAATCTATCATTGATGCCATTAATTCCCGTGACACGCCAATTTCTTTTGTTGAACTTCATGAGAAACTTCTCAACAAAGAAGCATCTCTTCAGACCGCTCAACCACCTTCCCTATCACTACTAGCCACGGCGAATCCCACGGCCTTTCGAAATCGTCCAAATTGGCGTCCATCAGCCACCAATTCACAACAATCAGGCCCTACCACTATACTTTCTCCTCATGATCAACGCCAACCCAAACCTTATTTGGGTCATTGTCAAGCATGCGGCACTCAAAGACACACTGCCAAACGATGCCTGATGTTTCGGCTTGTCACTAATCAACAATCACCAACATCTCGTCCTCAAGGCTCTCAAGGATATCGCCCCTCCACACCTTGGCAACCACGAGCCAATCATGCTATTCTGGGCAACAACACTACACCTACTTGGCTGCTAGATAGTGGAGCATCTCACCACATTACATCTGACTTGAGCAATCTCTCTCTTCATAGCTCGTACCAAGGATCTGATGATGTCATGATTGGTGATGGATCGGCCCTTCACATAACCCATACTGGTTCTACCACCATACCTACTTCCTCTCGCACCTTTACTTTACAAAAATGTCCTTTGTGTCCCTTCCATGAAAAAGAACTTAATTTTGATTTATCAATTTTGCACTCATAACCATGTTTCTGTTGAATTCCCACCATCTGTTTTTCAGGTGAAGGATCTAAACACAGGGACAATCCTTTTGACGGGTGAACCTAAGGATGGCGTATATGAGTGGCCGACTGAATCCCCTTCAGTTTCCTCTCCACCATTGCTTGCATTTTCCAGTGTCAAGACCACTTCATCTGAATGGCACTCTAGACTAGGTCATCCATCATTTACTATTATGAAAATATTGTTTCCAAATTTCCTTTACCATTGTCTAGTCCGTTATCCTCCTTCACACATTGCAATGCCTGTTCATGCAATAAAAGTCATAAAATTCCATTTTCTTCTTCTACCTTGACCTCATCTCACCCACTTGAACTTATCTTTTCTGATGTCTGGACCTCTCTTTTTTATTCTGTTGATGGTTTTCAATACTATGTTATTTTTCTGATCATTATACACGATATATTTGGTATTATCCCCTTAAACGAAAATCTCATGTGTATAATGTCTTTGTACGTTTCAAGGCATTAGTCGAAAACCAATTTAAACATCAAATTGTTACATTCTATTCAGATAATGGTGGTGAATATCAAGCCCTTGATCTTTTCCTCTCCACCAATGGTATATCACATCTTACTACACCACCCCATACACTAGAACATAATGGTTTTTCTGAACGACGTCATCGACATATTGTTAAAACTGGTCTATCTCTCTCCTCACTCATGCATCAATACCTTTAACTTATTGGACTTACGCCTTTGCCACTTTTGTATATCTCATCAACCGTATGCCAACACCCACATTACATCTTTCATCTCCTTTTGAGAAACTCTTTAAGTCTCAACCCAACTACACTAAACTTTGGGTGTATGGTTACTTATGTTATCCGTGGCTTCGTCCTTATTCTCAGCATAAACTTGACTCTCATTCCACTCCTTGTGTCTTTCTTGGTTACTCTTCAACACAAAGTGCATATATTTGTCTCGCTCTATCTACTTCTAAAATATACATATCTCGTCAGGTAAAATTTCTTGAAAACTCCTTTCCCTTTAGCACTCACCAAATCCATCTATCGCGTCCCACCCCAGAGATCATTTCCAAATGGCTTCCCCCGGTCCAAATTTTACCAATTTCAAGTGGCTCACTCAATACGCCTCCACAAAGGGATTCATCATGTCAACATTCGTCACAAAATACCCAAATAGACCTCCCTTTACCCGAACACAGCTTGGTTAATCGCCAAGAAACCATCGTCGACCATTTACCACTAGAACCACACAATTCTGAGACCTCTTCTGCTTCAATCATAGCGCAACCCACCCATCAAAATACCCATCCCGTGACCATTAGATAGAAAAACAACATCCACAAACGCTTAACTAAAATGAACCTCACTACTATCATTTCTCAACCATCAGACATTGAGCCTCATACTGTTTCTCAAGCCCTAAAAGATCCTAAATGGAGACAAGCTATGAATGATGAGTTTGATGCTCTTGTTCGAAATGGAACTTGGGAGCTTGTTCCATCTACTTCTCTTCAGAATCTTGTTGGATGTAAGTGGGTTTTT